GCTTGCTGATCAGGTGACTCGGTCTGAAAGCCTGGGCTCGCAATTCGGATATGAGATATTGCTGAATTCAAGCAAGCCGGAAATTACTATTCCACTCTGCTTGTCTTATAGGTAAACACTTTTCATTTATTGATTGCTACTCGCCATGCGACTGCCTGCGTGAGATGCGCTCCCCTCCTCCAAGGGAAAGCAGAAATACCCATCTCCCTCCTGCAATCAGGAATGCCGCCGCATATCCCTCCTATCCACCTAATTGCTCACCATCTCAGCCAAAAATCCTTATGCGGTTTTTCGCCCATCCATGCAATGCATCATTGCGGCATTCGGCTGGTAATTCTTCTCAACCACCTCTGCCCATCGCAACCAGATGAACTATTTTTTATGAGTAGAGAAGAGGAAATAGTAAGACCAGTGAGGTCGGCGTGGCCATTCCTGGCTTATTCGCTGTCATCAACGTGCCATATCCAACCCCAGATTTGAACAAATTGGGTTTGAGCGTAAGTCCAGCGCTCTGCCACCGAATAAGCGGTCCACCGTGTAGCACCCGCTCCAGCCCCCCTTTTCTCCGGCTCCGTTTTGTCGGTCGATGACCGCGACAATCGTTGCCAGGCCGCTGACACACGACCACCCCCGCCGCCGGCTAGAACTGGGGCCCCTCCTGTCCAGTTGCAGTGACTCCCGGTTTCCCGCACCAACTATTATCCCCCCACGCACGTCGGTCGACCTCGCTTGATACCCGTGTGAGCCCCTGTGATTATGCGTCCCCCTAATCCGTCCAATCTCATGACCAGCACTCAGCTAGTCACCCCCACCTACTGACACAGACATTCACCCCCCGCGTAAACTGCACACCGCAACTGACGCTCTCCGTGAACGGACGCTTATCTCTGTTGCAAGCAAACAGCCCACTTACGGCAACCTGCCCCGTGGATAGAATAAACTATTCCTCACAACTCCCTGACTGCTGACATTAGGCGAAACGAACTTATTGTTCGTGGTTTAAGTTGATCTCACAGGCTTGACCGCCACAACCGTTCTGTTCAATCCTAATAACGGATGCCTATGCGACCGCCTGCGATGGTCAAAGATCGAGCACCGAAGAGCAGACGGGCGAAAACGGTGCGCAACTTGGTCGGTGAACTGACTGACGGAATGTAAGACAGGCTCAACGGTTCCTTCTTACTGCGGCCTTTATGTGACGCTCGATCCGCCAACCATCATTGTGTCAAGATGTGGTGTTCTGTATAGGGGACTGGCTTGTGTGTGGTAGACGCAGACTGGCCGTCTATCTCAGCTAGTCACCTACTCTCGAACCCGGCATAAAATGGTTGACCGGGTCAAACAGCGGATTGGTGTCTGGGTGATTAAAAAGACAGTGGGATGGACTCTGGCGGCCTACCTCCACACGTACTTCAGCGCATTCCTGCCTATGAACATTCTCACACGCTTTTAAACTATCATGGTGGTCCAAGGGTTGTGGTCTGAAAGGCTGCCAACTGACCGCATGACAGTTCGACCGTCGATTTGGGCGATGTTCGCCGTAAAATGCAGCAGACATCGTGACTTGCGCGTGGATCGGTTTATAATGATAGTAGACGTGCGCAGCATATACGACACTCCTCACCATCCCCCACCTACACCTGGTGTCGAGACAGAGTCAAGAAGACCTGAGGCGCAGGAGGGCGCAGGTGGATGGCGCGTTCGAACCCCCATCTGGGCGCGCCACCACTTCCTCTGACCCACTGCTAAAAACCAGGATTTTAACCAACAACAAAAGTGAGGGGTGCGACAGGGGACCCAATATGCACGACGTACGCCGTCAACTGGGTCTGCTACCGCACCTGAAATGTTGGTATTTGTTGTGGTACGCATTTCAGTACGTGCTCCTGTATTGGTCTAATGCATCTACCCCGTGACTCGTTAGGGGGCACACACACATGCATACACACATGATAGCTCGACCGTCGTTGTCCACGATATCAACCGTGTGTTCCACGGCAAGGTGAGAGCAGTCATCATTATTTGTAGGAATTAGTTTAGAGCGGTAGTAGGCTTGCACAACATCAACCGCACTCCTTCCTTCTACACCTAAGCTGGACCAGGTGTCACGACGGAGCCCAGGAGACCAGAGGCGGGAGATGTCACGAATAAAAGCGGATACGCGAGTCTAAGCCTCCTGTTGCAAAGAAGATGAACGCCCGATCACTGTGACAATCCATGCATTAGTCCGAGCTTTCGGTCTCGTACAAGAGACCATCATCAGAGTCTGTGGGAATGCAACATCAAATGAGCAGGTTTTGTAGTCAGTCCAGTCTAAGAGGACGGGGTGGGGGCGATAAGCGTGGAGGGAATGGGCAGGGGTTTGTGTTCGCTATATGGGTGGGTCAACACCGTATCACGGCTTCGTTACGACATGTGAACATGATTGGGAATTAGGCCGCGCCTCTTGCCCGCGTGATCGCCCCTTGTCCGACAGCTACCATGCGTATCAAAATCATGAATATGAAGGGACGACCAGATGTAGCAAAACAATCTAGGGAAGTTTATTAGGTTTCCTGCCGTGACATCCCTTGACATTAGACAAGCCTGGTCGCACGGCTGCTTAGGTCTGGCAGTCCGGAAATGCAATCTACTGTTTCAGGTCGCTACTAACCCAGGGGAAAGGCCATGAATTCGACTTTATGTGCACGACAGGAACTTCACCAACCGACGCGTTAATGTAGCCCGAAGCTACCACGCGTTTCGGTCCCGCAGCCAAGAGGCGCGACCCAATTCCCAGCCATTGATGCACACGTTAACGGAGCTGTGGCACGGCTTGGACCTGGAATTATCGCGAACGCAACCCGCTCTTCCTTCACCCTTAACCTCCCCCTTTGATTGGCTACAAAACCTGACCATGTACCATTCTCAGTCTCGAATGGTAGCTTCATGTACGAGACTAGTGCATGTATTGTCCCCGTGATCGCACGTTTATCTTCTTGGCAACTTTAAGTCTGTTGTCGAGTGAATGCGTGCAAGTGAACAGGTCAAAAGGACTGGGAAATGCAAAGCACGTATGTTAGGATGGATAAGCTTCTTCCAATGTTTTCATTTTTAGTTTGCGTATTAAGCAGATTAGTTACCAGATGAATGCACTGTTTTCCGACATTCCTATGCTGTGCGAGTACATACGCATATTTTACGCCATCCAAAAGGACATGCCCGTGAATACGCTAAAAGGACGACTGACGCCTTGCACACAAAATGTCCAATTTCTGTGCAATGGTCAACTATACAGGCAGGTAGATGGTGTGGTAATGAGCTCACCGCTTGGACCGTTCCTTACAATTGTTTTTATAAGCAAAGTCGAGAAAACAAGATTGCATGACAACGTTAATGGCCTCGTCTTCTACGGTCGGTACGTGGACGATATCTTCTGTCTGGCGGATGGTACACCGATACCGAGGAGCTTGTCCAAAATTTCAGCAGTGCGCACCCCTCGCTAAAGTTCACCGCAGAGGCCGAGGCAGATAACGAAATTGATTTTCTCGATGTCCTTCTGCACAGGCAAGAGGATGGGCCTATCCAGCGCAGGGTTTCCGAAAGAAAACCTGGACGGGATAATGCATCAATTTTCATAGTTTTTTTCCCCTAAATCTCGAACAAAATGTAGTCCAGAGCCTGGCAGTTAGAGTGAGGCGCATTTGCCCATCGGAAGCTATTGAAGAAGAGCTCCAGCAGCTGCGGAACACACTTCGGGAGAACGGATACCCAGATAGATTTATCCTCCGACATATTGGGAACGCGCCACAAAGCACACTGCTTCGACTACAGAAAAGAAATATGTATTCACAAGACTGCCTTTTGCAGGAGACGCAGAGAGCTAACTAGTCAGACAACGCTTAACTACAGCTGTCACGAGGGCGTTCCCCGAGGCGAATTTACGCGTATGCATCATAAACTCTCCCTACCTACGTTAGAGAGGTAAAGACAGACTACTTTTGGAGGCCACATCAATGTGCATCTACTCATTCACTTTCTCCTGTGGAGCGAGATACATCAGCCATACAACGAGACGCCTAGTAAAGAGAGTGCGTGGAAATATGCCCGTCTGGCTAGACAGAAGTGAGACCCGTTAATTTCGAGTTCTATTCTGGCACATTTAATCGACACGAATCACCGTGTCGATGCCAAGGAAGCATTTCAGATTGTCTACCGGATAACAACATGTTTCTCTAAAGGCCTACACCAACGGATATTAGCAACGGCCGAGGCAGTGGCTATACGGCTAGCGAATCCGGTGATATGCTGACAGAAAACCCTGACACAAGCGCTCTCTTTGCCGTGGCCAACGCCAACCCCAAGTGATGACGACATGCCGCCTCAAATCCCTAATTACAGTGATGGGTACTCTGTGTACTCAATCAAAGAAAATCACTAAACGATTCTCTCACCTCCCTCCCCTAGCTCTGAGGACCAAAACCCGCTGACCCTGTCATGCGGGCGGCGTGGGGAAGATGAGTGATAATTACTTAATAGCCCTTGAGACACCTATAAATACTGTGGATTTTGTACATTTTCATTCCTTCATGTAACGGCATTGGCCTGACGAAGAATTGCCAAAAGCACGTGTTTGCTAACTTTACTTTTAAGTAGAATTCATTGTAAGTGTGAGGAATGACAACAAATGTTTTTCCCAAATGCCCACAAAGTCAAGCTTGATCCCCGTACAGGGAACGGCTGTTTTTGCGTACATACACTCAGCGTTGAATTTCCACTCAGCGATAGTTCATTTGCCATGCTCTATCAGCACAACCACTGTCGTCAGACAGCCTTGCTCTAGTTACATTGCCAGTTTTAAGTTAATAAACTAGCGACTGGTTGATAAAACACACCGCTTGACCGACCGTTGCACGCTATGCACACGTGATAAATTTTAAAAAGAGGACGCACACTCATCGATCAGAAGCTGGGACGACACACCAAAAATGTGGTCATAACGCGCCTGAAAGCCGCTGCAAATGAGTTATCACAGTGTATGGAATTTCCTTAAGAGGAAATTTGGCCTGTCAGATCCACCTAGGACAAATTCAAACGCAAGTAATTGCACCCACGAGGACCCACCCAGCAGCAGCAGCAGTCTCAACTGCCACCTCGACACCCTCCCAGTCACATCGCCCACCTCTCTGAAGCCGAAAAGATGCCGCATGGAAGGGCCGTCAAATCACCTGCCCAGCGAGTCCGTTGAGGCCTTTGCCGCGCTCTGTCAACTCCTGACCTGCAGTGTCTGTCTTGAGATCTCTCACCAGGCCAACCAATGCGCCAATGGTCACCTCATCTGCCTGGCCTGTTCGGCCCAACTGGAGCAGTCCGCCTTCACCGCCGGCCGGGCTTGCAGTTGTCCCGTCTGTCGGGTCTCCCTGTCCGGTTGGGGCAACGACTCACTCACTGGTGCCGACGCCGGAAACCCAAACGGAACCCCGCCTGGCTTGCAGCGATGCCTGTTGGCCGAACGCTTGGCCGCTGAACTACCTACCGCATGCAAATTCTGCGGCCTTCAGTTCCCCCGCAGGGCAATCGATAGACATCGGGGCTTTTTGTGCGAAAATCGAACAGTTGCCTGTCCCTACGGTTGGTTGGGTTGCAGGTGGAGGGGTGGCGCCGTTAATCTGTCCGTGCACCTGAAGTCCTGCCGTCTGTTGAATGGTGAGGATAAACCGTGGATGCGACTGGCGGCGAGGCGGATGCAATCGGTCAGTGAGCGTACCGCCGCCAGGCTTCAGCCATGGAGGGGTTTGCTGAGGCTTCTGCGAAATCGACAGCATGTACACTTTGGCGTCAGAGGCCTGACTGGATTGCGAATGATTCACCTGCCAGTCGTGATGAGCCGTTTACGACGGACAGGACGCAACGGGGCTACTGAAAACTCCTCTGTTGCGGAATCTTATACGTACACCAGTCCGGTTCTCTGCCTACCAACGGGTAGTAAATCATCCATTTGGGTACAGGTTAGTGGAAATCTTTTGGCTGAAGCCCATTTAAACTAGTTTCACTTGTAAGGAAGGGGATTTTCTTCAATTTATTTGATGTAACAACTGTCAGTGTTGTCTAGGAGTATTTAAAGTGAAATTTTCAAAGAAGACAGTGAAGGAAAAATGTCCTTGTAAGATCCTATTTCGTAGCCCTGTCTGTTAGGAGTTAGGGTTACATGTTAGAGTTAAGGGTTAAAAGTAGTGGTTGGGGTCAGAGGTTAGGGATTAGGGTTTACGATTAGGGACCGGGGTTTGGAATTAGGCGTCAGGAGTTAGGCTGCAAGTACGACTACAAAATACGAGCCGACCAATACCGTATTCTTAAACGCTTATTTTAAAGCTAAGATCAGTCTTCTGAGATATTTAAGTAGGCCCCTTTATAAAAAATATATGTTCCGTAAAATGGCACGTTAAGTTTAGCGAATGTGCATTTAAGGCTTCAGCCAGCCTTGAAGTAGAGCAGGGAGTCTGGTAGACGTGACAAGGACTCCATAGTGCTTTTTCGGAAAGAGTTTTAAAACGCTAGCATCCTCCCTAGACGTCAGCCTCCGTGAAAATGGATGCTCTCGTGAATAATTTTCTCATACCGACGGGCGAGACACCAGCTCACTTAGTACATTTAACTGAGGAGCATTAATACCTCTCTGAGAAAGCAGCTTTCGTGACGACGGCTCATAAGTGGTAAGAAGGCGCCATTAATGAAAACGGACGTGCAACAGTAAAGCCTAGTAATCGGGAGAGCAGCTGGCTTGTTGCTTGAGACAGACATAACGATGAAATGAGAATTACCCCGATAACGGTCCCGCTACTGGGGGAAGGAAGGAACTGCCCGTTCTGAGAGGCACATCAAAAAATCTAGAAGTGTTTTTTTTACCTCCGTATTATAATGCATGCAGTTGATAAGGGTACTCTATGCTCCATAGTACTCTGCGCTTCAAATGACTGCACAGTGCCCTGGAAAGGGTAGATAGTAAGACCGTTAACCTGTGCTTATATGCCGCGCCAGAGACGTATTGCTTTGCATTAAATAAGGGCCATAATTTGGGGAAACAGCCCTACACTCCTGCACATAGTAACTTAAGTTTAGCCAGCCAGAAATGACAAGAAGGTTTTGTAGACAGGCACATTCGTGATCACTGCCCAGTACTGCGCGGATGGAAAATCATGGTCATCTCTGGTCGTTGACATCCACCGGCTTCATTGTTGTTGATTATGTGTAGCTTGAAAGAATCGCGTAGGCAATGAAGATTGTTAGTATGCATTTAAATCCTTATTAAGCCCGAAGAAGCGTAAGGAGAATTTTCACCCCTGAGGCACGAAATGCATTCGTCTAAACGTCTGGTTACGTTTGTCCATCAAAAACAGTAATCAGCAAGAGCTTGATTGCATTTACGGGTTGTTTAAATCGATTGACTACCTATATTGTCTAGTATTGTCTAGTTACAATGTCATTACGGAGACCTGTGCCAGTTTGTCAAGTCCTGATCAAAATAATGACGCTCATTTTGGTCTCATAGTCAACTGGAGCTTAGGCTATGCCGCAGGAAACTGAGAAAAATGCAGAGATTCATTGGGAACTCGACTTATTTTATTTAATCACTGCTAAGAATAGTACGCGTTTCCACCAGTCAATTGATCCACCGCACTAATGAAATGCGTAAGACCAGATTATATGGCATATATTATCCCCGCCTGGCGAGATCAGACGGCGCCGACTTTCACGTGGTGCACCCCAGAAACCACCATATGCGGTTCGGAAGTTTGTACAGTAGATGCACTATCCCATGAAATGTTAACCGAAATGCTGATATGTGTTTTCGATTCAAAATGATAACATGAGCAGGGCTGTAAGATCAGTATCCGTACTGAAGAGTCCCAAGTTATCTCATTTAAACCGGAAGGCTAACTTATTTCCGATCCTTTGCAAGACCCACACTCTGTGAAAAAGTGACTGTTGTAGAAGAATGCATTTTTCTCATTAATTTCCATACCCCATTTAATTCAAATATATTTTATAGAATACATGCACAAAATATCCGTCACTTTACTCAGTTCATAGTCATTTGCATCTGATTTAAATTTTATACATAGGGGAAGAATGGCATATGGTTTTAAAAAAGCTTTTCGCTTGAGGAATAATTACGAAGACGACCTGTTACACATTCATTCAGAAGTTCCAACCAATAAGCTATATATTTTCCATTCAAAGAAACCATATATTTAAATACGCTGTTAGGAAAATATTATATGGGGTTGATGAAATTGTGGAGTGCATTGAATCATACAGTATACTTTATAAACGGCATTGATTAATACAGAAATGGGATGTTTTGTGAATGGACATTTCGCTGTCTTAAAAACTTCATAATTGGAAACTTTAAAACCGAAAGACACGCTTTTCAGGTGATGAACTTTGAAAAAACGTGCTTTTTGACCAAATGCGTGCAAGGATGATTATTTCTGTGCATGTCTTCTCTAAAATATGATTGAATTTTTAAGGACACCGAAACTCAATGCGGCAAACTCATACTTCTTAGTAAGTCATACTTTCTTAAGTAGTAGAATACAGTTTTTGCAGGCTGTCAGAGGGAAGCTCGTTCAAAAGCCGGAATCCTGATATGAATGAAATATCCTGGGACTTTCCTGCACGGTAATTATTATTGCAACCCTACCTAAGTAATCTGGTTGAGTCGAAAGCGCATTTTAGAATTTCCGTTAAAATTTCAAGAGATAACACATTCACTGTAGGCAATGTCGGTGGGTGCCATTGTGAGCGGATCCACATCAGGGTAGCTGATTTCAAAAGCCTTCCTTTAGGTCTACATGTTCCCTCCCTCCACTGTCCCGTGACTCTCAGCGTGATAATATGTGTCAAAGCCAGCATCTCATGAGACTGCCTTGGGATTCATACGGATTATGCTAATGACTGAGTGGGTTATAGTGACGCAAGCTATTACTAATATTAACGGTGATGCAGACAAAGCTGGAGCTCGAAAGGACCATTTTGTGCCATCCCAGATAAAGAGTGTGCCGGAATTTTAAACCATGGCACCTCTTTTAAATATTCTTCTGCCTGACGTCAATGAAGGGCATCAAACTCGCGGTAGATGAAAGGAGACCGGCAGCGTTCTATAAACGAGTAGAAAAAGATTGGCTCTCACTGGACACTCTATCTGCAACTAGAAAGGACCATCGTAACGTCCCACTTTCTGACCATCATCGTCAACATCGCGCATTCCTGACCGTACATTTCCTTTTTCCTACAATATTGTTTAATTGGATAAAAAAGAGAGAAACATTAGGCGTTACAGATGAAATTTCAGTCTGAGGCTGAAGGTTCTCAGAGACTGGCCCGCCTTTGTGTATAGGTCTTTGGAGCAAAGCAACCCTTATCTCCGCGTAATGCATCAAAGGATATGAACCCTATGTACGCCGAAAATCGAACTGGGATCCCACGCGAGCACGCCGCTACTAAACTGCTGACGCACGACTGCTAACCTCTGACACCGGCAATGACTACTAATCAGTCCAGGCGGCCTACAAGACCCGCTGCATCGTGCTCGTAAGCACAGACATCTGTTACGATGTGTCTGCCGTCCAATTTCTCAGACTGGAAGAAGAACTCAGGCGAACTAGTTTGTCTGTCAGAAAGACCTAGTCGAAGTGATGAGGACGAGCACTAATTTGAAATGCTCGGCAACTTTCGGCCTGGGTAGAGAAAAGGAGGGGAGCAAAACAGACTTGATATTCAAATTTCTCCGTGGTTGCCAAATCAGTAGGTAGACTGAAAACAGGAGAAAGCTGAAGCTTATCAGACTTTAAAATTACGCCTCCGTCATTCCGTGATTAGCAGGGTTCTTCACTTGGTCCTCTCCATGGTCATGCTTTAAACTCTATGATAATAACGAAGCAATGATTTTTCCACATAAGGCCTCGAGGGAGACAACTCTGGCCGATTCGACTGCAGGAGGCCAGGAAGGTCTGAGATCTCCTCGGTCGTCGCCCCCCCCCTACTGCAGACACTAGGATCTGCGGTACCTAACAGTGGCTGTACTGGAGCACAGAGCTCACCCACAACCAGTAATGACTAATGACTTGCCAATCCCATAGAAGTGCGTTATCCGACAGTTCGGCCGTTGTTGCGGACGATGTTCAAAGCAGGGTTAATATGAGGAACGGCGATTTGCGCGCGAGTAAGCTTATAGTGATGGTAGACTTACGCAGCGTCTACCGCAGTCTCTCCTCTTCTCTCCCTTGTGCTCGGTGTCAAGACGGAGTCAAGAAACTCATAGTTGGAACGGTAAGAATCCGCACTTACGCGTACCACCACACCCCTTGGTCCACACCGGACACTGACCGTAATTTTATTGAACAAGCAGGTCGGAGGAGGCTCGGATCCCCCTAGAATGGAGGGCCATAGACGCCATATTATGAAGGAGGCATTACGGACTGACTCTCCGTCCTGAATGGACCTTCCCGTTGGCAGCATTCTGTGGTGATGATGGTGGTGTTGGTGGCGGTGGTGGTGGTAGTCGTATAAATGGAGGTCATTGTCATGCGCAGTTAACAACAAGCCCAATCAAAGCATAGGGCAGTTGTATGTATCGTCATCAGACACTCTTAGCAGAGGGAGAATGAGAAGGGGAATAAGAAGAAGAAGAAGAAGATGATGATGATGGTGGTGGTGGTGTTGGTGGTGGTGACGGTGGTGACGGTGGCTGCGGTATCGGCGGCGGCGGCGGCGGCGGCGGTGTTCCTCGTCATCGTGATCATTGTGGGGTTTGCGGCGATGGTGTGTTGTGGTTGCTAGGGTGTTGTGGGTGTTCTTATCGGTGATGGATATGGTTGTCATCGTTATTATGGAGTTTCGGGCAGGTATGAAGGTGGGTCTGTACGAAGACAGTAGGCGAACTAGTACTGCAGCTATTGCAAACACGCAATGCTACGTCACCATAGAGTAGCCGTTTGGACAGACGATCGTTGTCCACCTACATGAGATGGTCGCCCCACACTAGTTGGGTTTGGTTTAGCTTGACATGGATGCCAATGATCACAGTCCATTCTATGACTTTTGCATTTGGGACTGGCTCGCCACATCCGCTCCAGCATTCTCCAGAGGCAGGTGACGTAAAAGTGATTGAATTGCCTTACTTACATGTCATACATTGTTTATGTATTCGCTCCCTACAACAGCGCTGTCAGAACTACCGCCCTGTACATCCTGAGGTTCTTGTCGAGTTAAAGTCCGCGGCAGTCCTAGACTGCGAACTGTAGCCGACCGAATGTCAGATGGGCGTCGGAGATCCGGTGGGTCCTTTATTTGTCGGTCTTCACATTCGTTAAACTGCACCTCCGAGACCTGAAAATCTGTCGACTGGTGCAAGTTGTGTTCCATTGACATTAATACTGAAATCAACGTACTCTGCGTAGGACGCCAGTTGATTCATAACCACAGTCTTCTCCGTGTCGATCAAAAGTCATCTCAACCGGAGACGGAGATGTTCGCATTTTGCTGCTTGTTCTCTTCCCCTGCGATGTTTGACGTGCACTCTTCCGCGAAAAAACTGTTGCGCATGTTGGCCTTGAATAGCCTCGACGATGCTTTCGAGCGACGAATGTTGGACAATCTTCCGTCGGCTCGGTAGCTGATGCCGACCACAGCCGCTCCTCATGATAGGTGTCCATCAACAGCCCCGCATTGCTCCACTGGTTATCATAGAGGTTTCAGAGACTGTCCCGTTCTCCCTGAGACGAGCCACCATCCCAGCGTGAGGTTAGCTCAGCACTGGTGTAAGTTTCTCCTGACATCCGTATTTCAGCATTATTTTTCAGAGTCGATCGTGGTTGACTCTGTCGAGGGTCTTCATTAAAACAACGGTGGTGTAGAGGTTAGTCGTCGTCTCTTGGAACTTCTCTTGTAAGTTGCAGGCTACTAAAAACATGTGGACGCTTTCACAGCTCATCCGAAAACCAAATCAGTTTTCTGTGAGACGTCTCTGTTGGGAGACGCGGAAAATTTCCTTGTCATGCGGACTAGCTAGACCCCTCCGTGATTGGCACAGAGTTGTGAGGTTCCTGTGCCCTTGTATATGCGGAAGATAGTCGTGCTTTTGAAGTCTTGAGAAATGTCCCGTTCTACCTCTGCTTCCTCTCTGGCGAACTGTCACACCGTTCCAATCGTCGCTCAAGGGCAAAAGAGGAGGACAAGTTTATTGTCTGTTTCCTCCTGGAAGAGTTTGTTGGTGGTGACATCGGAAACTCTAGAAGGTCGGTTAGGGACGGTTCTGAAGTGCTCTGCCAAGATCTTAAAAAGTTATGATTTCTTTGCTGATCTATCGGAGTTGAAAAGTGGTGCGGTTCCTTTGGTTGAGGGATAGTGGACCATCTTGATTGACGCGGAGGAAGTTTTGAGTTCACCGCGGTCCGCATACCGTCGTATTCCCTCCGCCTCTCCTTTCTTTCGCACAATTTTGCATCCTTTGCGTCGGCTGCTGTACCAGTCGGTGGCATCTGAAGATGGCCACTCCGAGATTAAGGTTGGCTTTGTGAAACATATTCTTCTTCACGAGAAAGTCGATAATTTCTGCATGGTTGTTGTCAAACCAGTCCTGGTGTTGAGGGGGTGCGCGTCGAAGAATGTCCAAGGCAGTAGAGTGGGTGGCATTCTGCCGTTTAACCATTGTGTCTCTACGGTAAAGTTGTTGGTCAGAGCTTGCATTGCTTCCAGACTCTGAGCCAGCTGATTAAACTGAGAGCTCATTTTCGAGATAACAAGACGTTGCTTTGCCCTCCCTTCGGCTTCACAGATCATCGCAGTCGTCAGCATGTCTTGTCAGTCCAGCGGGTGCCGGCGCCTCAAAAGAGGGTTCATCCGCATCGCATTCTCCCGCGTCCGAGGGCGAAATAAGGCGTTGGCAAGGAGAAGGTGAGAGAGGAGGCCGTTTTTGTTGAAGCCGCTGATTCAGTGGGGAACCTAGCACTCCCAGGCAGCGTGGTCTGTCCCGATGCAGGTGTTGGAGTCGCCTAATTCAGCTCGTTTGTTTGCCTTCGATGGTTGCAGGAATGTGGCCGCTAGGCAGTTTCCAGGTTCGAAAATCCATAAGTGAAGGTATGTGATGTGATTTACCACATCTACGCGGTTTAGCCAAGAAGGAGAAGGTTAAATTGGCTATGCAAACGGGTTAAACCGCAGCGATCGAGATCCCGATGCAGGACGTCTGTGCTAGAATGCCTAGGAAGGAATGTGGTCAAAAGGTCTGAAAGCGTGTGCTATGCGAGTATCAGTATGCGCTAGCAGATCCCTGACGCCTAATACCCTGCCGGTAGATGCGCTTGCGCTCCCGTTCGGCATACAACTGGTGGACATGGTTACCCAATCCTCCTCGTTATTCTGGTCCCTGTTGGGATGTTGTTGTTATTAGTCGAAACCTGGTCGTTTGCTGCGTGGACCAGGTGGTGTGGTAGAACGCCTAGCTGTCTGTCCGACCACTTGCTCCGCCTAGTTCTTCCTTACTCTCTCTTGACACCTGGTCCAGGCGGCGGGAGAAGGAGAGAGTGCGGTAGATGTTGCGAATGTCTGCATCCACTATAAACTAATTCACACGCAGGTCACCGTGCCTGCTGCGCCTTGCTGAGTAGCACACGGTGGACATCGTCAGAATCGACGGTTGAGCTGTCAGGGTGAAAGATTCCATTATGTTATACCTACCAATTCTTATCGCCATTTGCTTACTGCCCCATGGAAGATGCAACGCAGGAGGTTGATCCCTGCTATCTAGACTGCACGCTCGGGACGAAGAAAATTAAAGAAGAAAAACCAGAGCTAGTGGGCAATCCTCTGACATCTGTTATTGACTTATGCTAGATGTTTTTCTTTAGAGCCTGCAAGGTCGTGTGATTCAGTTTAGCTTGCACTTCTGCCAGAAAAAAACTGATGAACTTCAAATTTACTGTGTAGAAACGCCAATCAGGGCAAAATAACATTGCCAAAAAAGACAAGGCAGACTGAGATGGCCATTTTTGGCCTGCTAACCGTCATCAACCGGTCCTACATAACCGCGGCGCAGGCAAACCCCGAGGTCCAGATTTACGATCTGTTCGCTAGAAACCCAAAGCCCCGGCTATTGAGCCACGTTCTCGTTGTTCTGTCGGCTCCAATCGAGTAATATTCACAATGGCAGAAGGGCGCGCACCTCGAGAGTTGTATGACACAGGGTTGGGTGTGACTGACTGACGACGGCTACCAAGCCAGAAACGGTCATTCCAGTCTGCCATGTCATTGTCGGAAGTGCTATTCTGTCGCTTTTACGCGCCGCTGTGCGGCTGGAGGCGGGACTTGAGAGGGAGAACCCTAACACATAACTGGACGACTGAGTTCCGTCACGTGATCGGTGCGCGCCCTTTTTCTAAACGTTAACTTACCACCTAATTCACATTGGATGATCTACCTGCGCACTGTTGCGGTCACACTCGCCAGATATGCGAATCCAACTTCCTGTCATACTTTTCTTCATAAGAGCCCGAATTCCAGTCTCAGCGAAACAGTGACTCAGACGATATAATCTGCCCCTTGCTCGACTGGAGGAAGGCAATACTGAATGGAAACAGTAACTCTCGTCTGCACCTGTTCCGCATTCGCGGGTTCGGTTGCAAAAGTCTGTTTTTTCACATGCTTTTCTTGTCCTGCAAGTCTCCTCTTTCCACACTCTGGTGCTGAACGTTCCGAATAAGGTATGTGAAACAAAACAGTAATTTGAAAGTATAAGAGATTTCTGATCTCCCGAGCTTCACATCAGATGCATGATGAGAGACACTTCTGCGTCAGTGAGCAAGAAATTTCTTCATTGGATAAAAACCGCTTTTGTATTACTGAATTCAAGATCGTCCAAAACGTGTCCTGCCAGGCAGATGCTAGAAGTACTTATCGGATTGCAAATACCAAAAGCTTTCGAGCTAACAAAACATCTGCTGATAAGTGACAACTAAGCAGATTGCATCTAAAATTTTGACATCTCCGATGCTGACATATGGTGTGGGTCGCGGGGGTGGGGCAACGGGAAGTTGGAACGGCCAGAAAGCGTTTCATTATGCAATGTATCCTAACTGCCTGTGTCCTGAGCGTGAGTCGCATAACGCACCTCGAAGCTGTCTCAACCGGGTTGGCCAGCTGCGTGAAGAAATAGTATTCCCTTGTTCTGCACTATACGGGGAGGGGAAGTCTGACATATTCTAGTTGACCGTTCAGTCAAAATTGCACAGTACAGAAAACTACCTAATTAAAACTAACTGAAATCTCGAAATCTACATTCATTTGGAAAGTATCATTCATGCAGGCTTGTACTACACAATTCCCAAGTACTTTAGTCACACCGGAACTTATCTTATAAGTGCGCGTCCTTTTAGTCGCCCGTGAAAAGCATACTTGCTAAAGGATGGCTACTTATGAAGTTTACATTGTTTCATTAATTATCGATGGCCTTATAAATTCGAAAATATTACAGAAACATCATTTTTGTGCACTTTTACAGTCAACTATGCCTTCTTCAATGCTTTTTACTTAAAGGTATCCTCCGGTTTTGAAGACGTTCCTTATTTCCGAGTAATTTTAAATCCGGGTTGTCATTGGACTTGAGCTTAGGACCTCCAAGTTACAAGCTGTGATCTGAAGGGCATAGTCGACAAAAACATCCTAGATAGATATATAAGAATTCAAGTTTACGTTTTTTGCGATACGGCACATAATATATGGCGGAATTTCCACCAGCTGAGAGTTTAACCTATTCAACGCATGGCATTCTGAGTAGTTCTTGTATTTGTCGGCTTGCCGCGAAACCAGGTTCAGAGCCTTTTTAGGGATTTTAAACTGAACTGCGTCTCAGACCTCTCTTCCTCAACCAATAGTCTTAAAAACCAATCATCAAGTCATCGCTAGGCAACGTTTCCCGTATGAAAGTCTTTGAAGGTGGCACAGCATTCAGTGCGTTCCTTCGTAGATACAGTAAGTGGGCTAACTCATGAAATCTCAACAGAAATCTCAAAATGCGTTTTCGTTTCGAAAAGATTAATTAAGTAGGGTTGTAAAACTAATCAGCATGCATCATAATACTATGATAACTCAGTTTCTCCGGGATGCTGGCTTTTGAACGAACTTCTTCACGGCAGTATGCAAAAACGACACTTAGCAAAAACGGTTACTTACGTGGCATGCATCTTTTCAACGATTTTTGACGTCCTTAAAGATTTGATTATATCTCATGGAAACCATGCAGAAAAATATTTCTTTTTTGGCTCTTTCAGTAGATAATTACGTCTTCTACTAATCTTCTACTCGAAGGAAGTGTCTAATTCGGTTTTCAAAAACGTTTCCAATTCCCAAAATATTTTTAACCCGACTTGCCGTTGCACTTGCATTCAGGATTTCCAAACTACAAGCCGTGTCATTTCCGCGTAAGGAAAACCACACAATCCTCTTCGGTATTAAGAGAAGGCCATATGGGTTTCTTAAAATTTAGCAGTGGATTTGGGCCGTATGGTTAACATTCCAAGCCACATTGGGAAATGCAGAGACATGACGTTTCATGAATGGCCATCTCACGGCATTAAAAAATCTCACAGTTATAAACTTTTTTAAAAGCTGAATTATACTCATCCTGCCAGTATAACCTTGGAAGAAGACGTCATTTTCCACCGAACGTGCAAAAGAATGAATATTTTTATACATGTTTTCCATGAACTATAAATTATTTGTCAAGGGCATCAAAAATCAAGGAGAAAATTGCATGCTTCTCAAGTAGTCATTTTTTCATAGAGAATTGCTTTTGCATGCAGCTGTGAAGAATTTCGTTTGTAATCCGGTATCCTGAGGTACCTGCATTGTTATAGAATTATGCTGCAGACTGATTAGTTGTACAAACCTACTTAAGTAATCTTTTCAAAACGAAAACGCATGTCAGAATTTCTGTTGACATTTTATGAGTTAGCCCACCTACTGTAGATGACGTGACGAAGATGGGTCACGCACTCGGAAAGACGGGCCAGGAGGCATAGCCAGTAAGTTCGTATTTCTGCGGCGGCGGCGGCGGCGGCGGCGACCGTTCTTGTCTTTCGGGAAGTCGGTTTGTTCACACACTCGGGACGCCTTTGCTGATTACTTTAACAGCAGACTACCACCTACCACGCGAATTTTGATGACATTGGCTCCTAGCACAGTCTAAACTCGAGCACCCATAGGACAGTCACATACCCCGTCAGAGTAAAGATGAAGTCCTAGGAGAGAAAGATGGGGAAGGTGGAAAGCTGATGACGGTTGCATGACGCCTTGACAGGCGCAACGAGGCAGGGCAACAGACGGCAGAGGGGAGCGATGCGACAAGAGTAGACGTCTGTCAGAAATGAGGGGATAGAGTTTTTGCAGAAAAAAAGAACGAAATTTTATTCGATAAGCGTTTGATGCGATGTCAACCGGAACACAGTACTTGCCTTACCGAGGTACTTCATGTGTGCTGAAGGCTGAACAGCGAGATTCGGTCGCGATTTGTGGACAGGTATTCTTTCCTGAACTGTGAAAGCACTAGAAAGTCGAAATCTAAGACCTCCGCTCTCAGCCCTGTCTTTAGATTCAGGCAGCATTGTGAAAGTAGACTTGTGAAGGAACGAGCGAATTACTTCTAGTTCCACTGCGTAACCGCAAGTGACCAGGAAACGATGGACACAAAAACAACTACTTCCTGTTGAATAAAAATTTAAATATTTGCCTAACGGTGAGGATAGGTTGTGTAATTCCACTGGGTTTAGCACATATATGTAACTAATATATGTGTTTTATAAAGTCTTGTTTTGTTTATTAAGCCATAACTGCAGGACGTCTTCCCTTACGGGTTATCTAACACTTTGATATAACCGAATGCACCGAGATGTTTCAGTAGAACTTTTTAGTGATAAATTATTTGACATGAATTCCTCGCTTCCCCTCCAAGTACCTTGATTTCTTAGTTACTCCAATGTACTTACATTGCCTTTCCTTGTCGATTCCGTATGCCGTGAATTGCATATTTCTTCCGGAAGAGTAGATGAAGCTTTTCGTGTCACTTTGGTACTTACTATACAACGGCTACCGTAGGGATCGCTGAGTGCGTTTTGGACCGATTTGTCTACGTTAGAACCCAAATGCTCTGCTTCCTCGATACCTCTGAATGGTTTCTGTTGCCGAACGCGTTCGCCTGACTTAGTTATTTTTTAAAAATACTTTTGCATGATTCCTCTCATTAACAATAATAAGACAGTAAAGTTTAGTTGAGAAGTGGGGCTACTCAGCCTACCGCTGCCTCCCTAACACTTAGGTTTATATTCAAATTCATGCCCTCACAATCTGCATATAAGGTCTCACACAGTCTAGTAACCGGAGCTCTCTTAGAATGTACCTCAGTTTAAATCTGAGACAAAATTAATGCGCCCGAGTTGTCTCCGTGGGTCTTTGTCAAGTCCAGTCGCCACGCAGCCAACAAATCCTGGCCCGATGGATGTAGATTCAGGTGATATTTGGGAGACTGGTATAAAGCTGACGGAATCGGACGTATATTTCATGATCGCTGCGGATCAGCGGTAGCTCCCACCGCTTTAAAAGAATCGCCCATGCAAGTGCATGAATGGTTTAGGATCTTATGCTGGCGGTCGTCACTACGAAGTAACGGGAATTCGGAGCATGCAAGGAGATTGATGGAGCATTGAGACCTGACTGAGGAGTTCTTTTAAATTTCGAGATACTCAAGAGATCTGTTTTTAGGGCACAGCGGTGGCGGAACAAGCAACAGTAACGGACAAATGATCAGGGATATTTGTTTGACGATGACTGCGCAGGCTCTTTACGCAGGCGTGAGTGCAACGGAGATTTGTACTTCAGCCAGCTTGCTGCTCGTATTGCTTCTAAGTAGCACAAAACAAAAATAACAGGGCGATCTAATGCGGAGTCTCGGTCTCGCGTTATGTTTGTGTTCATGTATTATTAATCCCAGATTACGTCCACTCTGATCCGCGTAACTGCAGAGGCAGGCTCAGCGAGGGATACCACCCACTACATCAACCCCTCTCTCCCCACACTTTGGTCCCTGAATTAACTTCCATTCATGAACTTAAATTTTGCAGGAACTGATGCATGATCAACTAGAGTCATGGGTGCTGTACCTATCAAATGAACCTTACACTTGTGCTAACACACCGATTTGGGCTTTTCTCGGGTGCAGCAGCATAGGTGAATCAGAAAAGCTGAGAGTTCCATCGTACGCAATTCTGTTGATGAAGACAAATGAGCGAGTTTCGATAAGCAGTTCAGATAAAAAAGATAAAGTTGCCGGGACCTTGTGGATAATGGGTCAAAGGTTTCAGATTACCCCGCGAACACATAATCAGGGACAGGATTAGATAGGGGTAATGGATCTGCTATTGTCTCTCGTGATGGGTTCGGACAGGAATCCGAAACGTCGGTCAATTAAAGCTCTTGTCCTAGCGATTGCGTCTCCTTCTTCACGACTACTTCCTGGGACTCGTCTCTTCACTCCTATGGCAGCCTTCGCAATCATCACGGGGACCCGTAGATGATACAAGGAGGGTTGTCAGTCCGCATGTTTAACACTTGGTCTTTTAATTCACTGTCTTTGGACTTTTCGTCACCCACGTCCTTGACGCAAGGCTCATTACTTTGTCCAAACAAAGTCCCAGCACAGAATATGGGACCGACAGGTCACTGCGCCTGTTGATTGACTTCGAGACAGAGAACCATGACTGCTAAAACAGTTCGCTATTCACGCTCGACCTAGTCAAACTGGAAGGTATGACAGGATCCCATTGAGCGGCCTGCAATCTAGGATCTTCAATGCTGCTGCGATTTCGGTCATTCGCGTTCTGCGGCTTAGTTGTCATATCCGCATCTGCACTACATCGGCTAAATGATTCCTGGGGTTTCTTGTCGTGTTAATGGGTCCTTTGGCCTGATGACTTGGCGCCTGATGGTTTTAGACTTCAAAACTTTCGAGTGCAGAGGAAGATTCTCTGATGCATACAAGGATCCATTCAGTTTTGCCGAACGATTAGCACACCTGAGAATTTATTTCAAGTCCTCTTGTAAGATTTCCAGTCTTTACCAAAAGGACATATAGGGTATTCATGCCTTAGCATGTCGATCTAAACTCAGTGATATTCCCTCTGGGATGCTAAATTCTCGAGGAAAAAACTGAAGTAAATCTTATGCTCGATGTTTAGCGACATCCTACTGACCCAAGTTTATGGCAGCAGTCATCAACCTTATCTTAAGGCCAGTCGTGCAGGCAAGGCGAGTATGCACTTTCAAGTCGTCTAGCCTTAAGAGCGGTCGTATAAAGTCCCTGTTGCGTGGACTGCAATAAACAAACGATAAAACTGGGAAGAGTTTTTCGACTGTCGCTCACATTATTAACATAACCGAATGAGGATTAGTATGAATTGCATTTGCTTACATATATGTTATATAATAGGGATGACCAGTGCTTATATTTTAAATAAATGCTTATAACTGTAATTAGCACTACCTCCATATACTGACTAAAGTTTTAGGGTCGATCTCACTGTGCCACTGTAGTTATATGTCCCAGGATCATTTCTCCTTTGCTACTACCAGTTACCGAGAAAACCCGAGATGTTGCTCCGTTTGAATCCAGTTTATTTAGGGTTAGGTCTTAACAAACGACATTTTGAACGCGTTACCGGCACTGTAGACCGTGTGACCCACAACGAGGTTGGCGCAGAAGTAGCAACTTACGCATGAAGCAGTTTATAATAATAGTAGACTTGATCAGAATATACTACAATCTCCATCCTCACTCACCTGAGTCCCGAGTAAAGACGAAGTCAAAAACCCTGGAACGATGTCGTGTGCCACACACGGCCTGAATCACGCATAAAGCGCCAGGATTTTATACGAGTAACAGAAGGGAGGCGCTTCCAATTCCAACGGAATGTGGGTACCATAGAGACTAGGTTAGGGGGAAATCATTGCGACCAAACTCCCAGTCCTGAAAGGGCCAACCTAACTCTTCATCTGGCAGCTATCCAAACCACTGCGGTAGTCTAAAAACGCGTTAGATTGCTTATAGTGAGCAAGATGCGTTGAGCTATGAAAAAGGGCGCTTCGCAGAGTCGAGCTCATCCTCTCTTCCCCCACTGCCAGCGTCCGCCAGTCGTCCGGTGTAGGTGGTTGGCGCTGCGAGAACCTGCGTCAAGACGCGCCATCCAATCACAATGAGGGGCATTCGATGTGGGTGCACAACGTAAATAATGCCCGCCGATCTGGTCTCCATGGAGGACCGGCGCAACACTCGCATGGGTAGGTAGCCTGTTGGTTGCGACACCTACACAAAGCTAGCAAATAATTTTTTTGTTCGACCCTTCTGAATCTCAAGTAATTATCCTCCCATGCCTACTCTTTGTTATATCTCTTTGAAATTTTTCTGGTTCAACGATTCTACCATCCCGCCTTTTAGTCGGTTTTCAGCTGAGAGTAACGGTGAATTTTTGCGCAGCTATAGGCAATTGTTGTTACATTGTACAGTAGGTCTGATTAACCTCACGAAATCTCTGAGTCCCAATTTAGAAATAGCGCAGGGTCCTATTCATGTTGTTTTTTCTTATTGACAGCTAACTATCGCAAGGAAAAATCACTATTTTTCCTGTTGGAAAATGAATACTCCAATAGGATGTATGCGCCTGTCCGTAAAGACCCCGAAACAAAACATATAAAATTCCTCGCTGAAAAACGGAAAGCGCTCGCTTACAGGATCCATCCTCGCATAAGGTGTTTCGCACAACTTTCACAGACCGGCAAATAGAAATTAATCATGATTAAAACTTGAGGCGACTGTGGGCAGGACTTCGATAATCTTTCCTTTTTTCGGACATTCTGGGTCATCTAACGGGATTACAGGACTTAAACACATTGCAAAAGTACAGCTCGGCGACTCAAAATTTAAAACCATAGTTAGTTTAGTGCTCTTTGATGTTTGAATGAGGTTGGAGCGCTTTTTTGGCAAAAAATTCTCAACACAAAATTTGGCTCACCCATTTGTGCGGCGAGTCACAGACAGTGACATCGTGGATGTGGTGCCAAATTTTGCCCGACAATTGGGTCTTCAGAAAAAAGCACAAACCTCCTCTCAGCGCCAATGGTTTTTGCATGGTAGTGCAACCGCGGCGAACGGCGGCCCTACGAGGTGGGCTAAGAGGCACGTGAAATAGTTCTGAGCGGAGGACAATTGCGTTTAGTCTACCGAGCTCTCTTTCTCCAGCCAAACGCACCGTCTTTTAGAGGGTAGGAATACTGAAATGTGAACTAACCAGTCCGTCTAAGCGTGCCACAGACCACTTCAGATGCACCAGGCCGCAGTAAGGCGAGGTCCAGGTCCAAATAAGCGAAAATTGCACAAAGGCTACATTAAAAAGGACACATTTCAGCCTGACACAAGTTCCGAAAAGGATCAACATATCAAGTCAGCCGACAACCCCCGAAGCCATTACTCTTGGCTATTCGGGCTAAATGTGTACGCGTCAGACTAGGAATAGTAAGGAATGTGCTCTATTGTCGGGATGATGAATTACGGAGAACCGCTTTCCCTCTTCATTTTCCCATATATCAGCGGCTTCTCCGAGTTGCACCGACTGGGCGGAAGAATTCGTCGTAGTGGCTGACAAAGTTACTTAAGAGAGAGAGGGGTAATTCGCTTTATTTTGAAGTTCTAAATTCGAAATGTTCAGCAACAAAATGGGTTCCATTCAAAACGGGCAGTAAATAAGCTAATAAATTACTCAAGAGTCAACAAATAATTCAACAAAATGGAACGACTATGATGGGGACAGTTCGAGTTTTAGCTTCTGGATTACTTCACACGAAAGATAGCGCGCCAGGAAGGGCAATACGGAATTTCGATGTGCCGATGTGCGGCAAGCGATACGTGGAAAGCTACGGCGCATGGATCGGAGGGACTTTGCAGAGATTAGTTCAGAATACAGGGGATGGGCACCGTCATCCAGATTTCGACCAGCAAATTTGTTGACCGTTTAAAAATGTCGTTGTAGAATAATGTCGACTAAAAATACATAAGAAAAACCAACAGCAAAAGAGAACATTCAAAGGACTCCTTTTAAAATTAACATATATTTTTGAGGAAAGCAGGAAAAATGACAGGAGGACAAGAGAGAATATGATGAGGAATGTAGGCATCTGTGAATCGTCAAATTAAAGATTGACTTGTAATGGTAGGAATGCAAACAAAGAGTTTAATAGAAAAGTTTACGAACTTTGGTGCAAAAGGACACGAAATGGAGGAAAAATAAAAGATTATATGACAAAGTAGCGCCAAGGAACTTGAAAGAGGATACCTCGATTGGAAGGATGGCAGAACATTCAGGACAAGGAGAGGGTCACAGTCGGAAAATATACTGGAGGGATTTTTAATTGTTCAGTAGAAGAACGTTTTCCTGCGACCATACTGAGACGTGGTCGAGACCAGCCTTCAAAAACGAGATTTTTGACTGGGTGATCAACAACCATATCGTCGCCGTAGTTACCTAATACACTGTCGTTTGGGGATCATAGATCATTACTATGGAGAGAGAAGAGGTGAAGAGATTAAATAGAACCCTGAAAATTTCCACAATCGTCGCTCATTTATGCGTGCGACACATGATCTACATCATTAAGCACTTACCGGGCTACAGTTGGTGGGCCTGAGTCACACCAAGGTGGGAGATGCTATAAATGTCAGATTTAAATGGCACCAATTAGACCTGGCTGTCTGCCATGAGTAGGACGAGTTCGATTGGAACCTTTCAGCCCCTTGTTATAACTCGGCTGGCAGGATACCTTCGTAGATTCGCAAATACCTCTCACAAATAGGAAAATTCCTTAATAGAATACCTCGCCATAACACGTTTGCCCTCATTAACTGAAGCGTCACGGCAGTCACGAACTGCTGATCAAAGGCAGCCAGGGCGAATATCGTTCACTATCATCCGGTCGCGCGCAAAATCTGACAGACTGGAGTGGAGGTCAGCAAGCCATCTGGAGGCAAAATGTTTACGCGAATCAGTCCGGTCGTTGAGTGCGGTTAACCAGAAACAGAAGTCATGCTAAACCAAGCAGGCTTGACCAGCTTAACCGACTGGTAGCCACAACTTTCCAAATGTACTCGGCCTGCCTCCAGCTTTGGTTTAAGAACTTTTGATCAGGCCTAACACTTTTATAGATATTTACAGTAGGTGGGCTAACTCATGAAATGTCAACCGACATTTTGAAATTCGTTCTCATTTCGAAAGGATTTATTAAGTAGGGTTATAAGACTGCTTAGTATGCAATATAATTCTATAATGATCCAGTTACTTCAGGGTGTCGGCTTTCAAATGAACTTATTTTCGACTGCATGCAAGGACGATACTCTGTAAAAAAGACTACTTAAGTAGCACGCAAATTTTACATTAATGTTCGATTCCCTTGAAAAATCAATTACATTTCATAGAAAATATGCATAAAAATATTCATTCCTTTAATTTTTTGGTAGAGTATCACGTCTTCCGATTGTGTAATCGAAAGAAGAGTATAATTTGGTTTTAAAAATCTTTTCTTATTCTCTAATAATTTTGAACCCGACCTGTTGTTACGCTTGCATTCAGGGTTTCAAACTACAAGCCATATATTTTCCGTGTAAGGAAAACTGTGCATTTCCCTACAGTATTAAGAGGAGATCATATGGATTTCATAAAATTAAGCCGTGGATTTGAGCAATATTGTTTACTTCACAAGCCAAATTGGTAAATGCAGATACCTGACTTTTTACGAACGGCTATTTCAGGAAATTAAAAAATCTCACAACTAGAAACTTTTTGAAACCGAATTATACGAGTATAAAATCGGAAAACGTGATTTTCTACCAAACAAGCAAAAGAATGAATATTTCATGCATGTTTTCCATGAAATATGATTGCATTTTCAAGGGCATCAAAAATCAATGAAAAAGCTGCATGCTGCTTAAGAAGTCAGTTTTTGCAGAGTATGGTTCTTGCATGCAGTGGACAATAACTTCATTCGAAAGCCGACACCCTGAAGTAACTGGATCATTATATAATTATTCTGTATGATCAGTTTCATAACCGTACTTAATAAATCTTTTCGAAACGAGAAAATATTTCGAAATTCCGGCTGACATTTCATGAGTTAGCCCACCTGCGGTATTGTGGTGAATAGAAGGTGGTGAATTCGATCTCACATATAATTTACATGTCATCGAACGAAACGGAGCTGCCTGTTCCGAAGGCCGGATACACTAGGTTAACGGCCTCTGTAGCGTTACTTTTTTTCAATCATACGACCTGTCGGGATGCTTTGCAGTTAAAATATAGAACACGGATCCTGCCTCCTGAGCTCCTTTGGTGGATATGTATTACTCCAAACGCAAATGCTAGCAACCCTGTGCATGTTATCAGTAATTATAAAACCTCGAGTTATAGCATGAGTTCACAACGCTCATTGGTGTGTCTAACAGTGGGAAAGCAAAAAGTACCGCAGTGTATTGGAGCTGTGGACTGCCTAGGCAATGAAATAAACACCTACTAACCTGTGGCATTTGTCAACTATTTACGCATTCCATGTCTGTTTCGTATGAATTTCACCCCCTGTCTAACGTTCCTTGCTTTTCTGTAGTTTGAACTTTTTCCAAAGCCCCTGGAGGGAAATGCAAGCGAAGAGCAGTCCCAATATGAGGTCGCAGTCACGGCGACCTATAGGGTAGAATTTCGACAATGTGCAAAGCGACCTAACATGCGCCGACCAGCGGAGAGCGAACACGTCCTTGCCAGTAACCACATATTCTACACACTCGCATCACTCAGCAGTGAAGGGGTGCAGGAGTTGGAAGTTTTGGACTGCTGGCACGGTTTCAATGAGCCCACTCTAGCTGAAGGATCGGGATCAGAGGACTCCGAATCGGCCAGTGGGCACATTGTTAACTTCATGCCGGCTGACGCGGATTCCTTTCCAAATTATACGGTGAATGTGAACTCTGCCGACATAGGTACTGCTCTACGCTGTATTGAACCAGTGACCTCGGTGAACCTCTTTGGCCGAGACACCCTCTGCTGCTCCTATCTACTGGCCATCGATCCGAAGTTATTTACGCAGAAGCGATCGGAAGAAAGCAGTCGGGCTCTAGCGGCGCCAGGAAACCCAAACAACTCCCAGCACGTTGTACGACCCCATGTTGAGCTGGTTTTGCAGACACGTGCGGGAGAGGAGGATGATGATGACGATGAGGAGGAGGATGAAGAGGAGGAGGATGACGATGAGGAGGAAGAGGACGACGACGACGTCGACGAGGAAGACGGAGGCGGGGCAACGGAAGAGGAACCTACAGCGGACTTACGCTCTAGTACATTTGGACCTAGCCGGGAGACAGATAGTGGGACTAACGTAAATGATAGTGTACGCGAAAATGACAGCCATGGCACCATAAGTCCGCCCGAGCAAATAGTTGCTCCTCGACAAAGTACACGGCAAAGAAGGTCCCGTGAACATAACTGAGCGGAAGAGACGACACAGTCGAAAGGAGCGTAGTGATTAAATCCCTTAGCCATGAATATACTTCAAATAAACTTTAAGGTTTATTTTGACTCAGGGAAGGAAATCGAAATTTTTCCGAATAAAGATCCTTCTGTTCCCTGTAACCAAAGTTCTTCCTTTATGTATGTGATAATGCACCACACAGGTCGAATCCCCCAAAATTACAAGTAACTGGGTCATTTTGTTAGAAGACACTATGGAAAACTGACATATGAATTTATGAATTCCTTCTAATTCTCTTTATTAGTCTCACAAGAGCAGTCTGTCTGAATCACAGTGGTTGGTATGTTGACAGGTGTAATTGAGATAACTCAGAAGGAAACGAAACCGTCATGAATTGAGAGCTCCACAGTTGAACTAGCAGCAAACGCTATCAAATTTGTGTAATTATTTACCGTATTGACAAAACAGATACACGCATGTCTGGGCATTTAGCTAGTATCTGTGTTGTCAGTACGGTAAATAATTACGCAATTCTATACAACTGGCTGTCTGTTGGCGGTTTGTGAATATTACGTGGCTGTTCCACAGTAGCTGACGGATTTCAGCTCAAATATTCATACCGTCTTTTTTGGGCCGTGCCCAAAAGATCTGTTCCGAAGTATTAACTCCGGGTTCGCGCATTAATTTTCATCGGAAATTTAAAAAAGGCTATTGGCAGTATGACTTTTCCGCATACGTGGTTCGGTTATATTTGACCCTTTGTGATCGCAGTAGTCATGAATTAAAACAGTTTTTATCTTTTTCCATTTGTTCCAGTGGCTACAGACATGGAAAGTCCAAGATAATTCATTTGATTATTTATGAACATGTGCGGTTTCTAACTCCTCAAAAAAGCTTCAAAAACTCCAAAGGAGAGTTCACAGTCTAACATTGGTCTGTTGGTGTTCATATGACTTTGCAAACGCCCAGTTATCGAGGTAGTTCGGGACGCTGCTAGAAAAAGCTGGTGGTTTCACAATGTTTCAAATTCGTCAGCCAGTCTGCACACCAAAGTTCGACGTCGAAGGACAAATGACAATTTACGTGACAAATGTTCTGCTTCAGTTGTAAAGTAAAGACCTAATGATTTTTCCACACTATTTCCGCGCAGATTAAAGCCGACTTTTAAGGAATATTAATAGTGCAACTTAAATATTTTGTCAAAATTATTAAGGAAGTTATAGTAAAATTTCGAGGGCCGAGTGCGTATGATTCTTAGTCCCCAGCTTAAGCTAGTATTTAAGTTCTAAACTACCACTTTCTGAAGCGTGACTGCGATCACCTTTTCCCACCTAATCCGTCAGTCGGGAGTATAGTTTCCGATTTTCGGTGATTCTGTTAAGGAAGCCGGCAGGCGTTTACTTTACTAGTGAGGCATGCTTCGAGACCGATGGGAAAGTTTAACATTGTTCGTCTTGAGCGGCTTATCTTCCATAATCTGGACTAATTTAAGCGGATTTAAATATTCGCCTGGATTTTTCGATGGTCGACAGACGTCTGAGCCCAATGCTTCTTTTGTTTTTGAAACATGTCTCTTCAGTTAGTATGCCCACGTTATTTCATTCAAAGGACGCTATATCTAATGGAATATGAGGGGTATATGCTGTACACTTGTGCCAGAAACCGGAAGAGAGCTCCGAACGAGAATGGCCGAACACGGGGCAGCGGTGCACAGAAATGACGCCAGCTCTCAAGTTGCCGCTCATTCGACGAGATCCGGCCACACATTCAAATTCGATTAGGCCAAAATTCTCGCAAGAGGCGACAACCGCGTGAGCCGGGAGCTACTGGAATCATCGTTTACTGGCCCCAAGTCCATCAACAAGTGCAACGAGCTTCTCATTCCGTACTCCGTGCTAAAACCTTGCCTAGGCGGAGTTACAAGACATGCGGGGAGGGCAGAGGTGAACACTTTTCCCAACACCGGGGTCGGTGCGTCAGATGATCGAGCAATCATCCCGCCAACATCCAACGCACGTGAGGAAATTACAGCAATTATCGACTCGAATGTCGACCATCAAGCAATGATCACACCAAGTGTGACAATCCCGGATGAAGGGGGGAGCCGTGAATGTTCATAGGTATGCGGTAGCATGGCTGCTGCATCGTATAAATACCGCAGCCCCTTGTGCAACAACCACCCGTTTCTGATTTTTTGTCTCTGATGATGGATTCGAGTAGGGATCCGAAACGTCAGGCTAATAAAGCTCTTGTCCCAGCGATCGTGTCTCCTTCTTCGTGTGCCAGAAATGTTTATAAGTATATGGGAGGACTTATGAGGGTTTGAAATATACAAGAGTAATCATGAAAACACGTGGCTTTTACTTTTCGGATTTTGATTTTCGTAGGGGTACTGGAACGCACCTCTCGCTCTCGTGGAATGCTCACTTTACTTGCTCTCCAGATTTTCTGCAGATCCCAGTCAGTGACGGACGACACCATTGTCTGCAATGAAGTCTTGCGACCATTTTTTCATCAAATAAAATTACCTAAAACTGTTGGGGATATCTATGAAGTGTCTTATTTTTCAGAAGATTCGCATTTAGAATTTCAATTTGGGCGGCACTTCACATACTACTATTTTTATATCGATTCCTGGGAAAATTGTGATATTAGGATCTATGTGGCTTGCACAGCAAGAGTTGGCACAGTGACAACCGAAAAATGGGCAGTTTTGTTTGCCATTTTGTCTAGGGGAATCTACTCTTCATGTAAGTATAGAACACACTCGTTCGGGAAGACGTCATTTCCGCTTTAAATAAGCCTCTCTGGTTAAACACTGAACTATATGCGAAGAGAGCAGCGGACAATATGGCAAGGACGTCTGAACTCTGGGCTGTTTGTCCTTTTCTCAAAACCAGCTATTTACGGAGATTTCCTAGCAAGGGTATGGTTTATGACGCGGATTACTTATATCGCAGAGAAAATATACTAAAAGGAAATAACTAGCGACAAAGGAAAAAAATAGAAAGATATCGCGGCGGCTGTTGCATAAAGGTGATCGAGATGTTTTACGTTAGACAAAAATTCGACAATAAAATACCTTTTTGGCAATGCCTTTATAGAGACAATAAATGCATTTACCATTATCATTCAATGATGAAAATATGGAGGACCAAATTGTGTGACATCACAAAGCTCTTAAATGTTCAGCTCTTTTGCTCAACACAAGGGATCCCCGGTGACAAGCCGTACCCCTGCCAACTTGCTTGTTTACAGCCATATTTCTTGCGCATCATGAGCAAGTTCTTGTGCCAGCGCTCTCAGGACTTGCTTTGTGTATGATCAGATCCGGAGTCAGTTTTCTTTCTCTTTCCGGCATTCGCGTCAAAATTCTATGACATGTTCATTACTAGATTCACAAAGTTTTTGGAATGTAAAGGTCTTCTCAAATAAAAGCCATCTGCCTGTTCATATGGTAGAACTAGAGACAGGATCAAATTTAACAAAGAGTCACGCCGCTATTTGGACGATGTGCCATTACTGCACCTCACATAGACCAGCAGTCACTTCCCTAGGTTAGACCTTTAGGACGGACGATACTTTATTAATCTTTTCGAAATGAAAATGCATTTCGGAATTTCGGTTGACATTTCAGGAGTTGGCCCAGCTACTGTATATTCCCACTTTCCTCGTGTTGCATCCAGTCGGACACACTGTTACGACCAGACGACAGCGGCAGACCCCCTCCACCCCCACTTCGTCCCCTGCTTACGCAGTCTCCACACTCCGTCGCAGATGCACTTCTAAGGACCAAAACCTCGTCCATCAGCACGTTGTGCTGCTTTGACGATATGTTTCGAAGATGTTCTTGCCTAGGCCACACGAATTTATGGTTCATTGCACTCTGCGGTTACCTTTTGAATTGGCTTTTCCAACAGTCTCACTTGTTCAACGGACCGCAAATGCTGTAACTTTTGCCTGCCCCAATCCCCGAAACTCAACCCCATCCCCACTATCCGCAGTCGTTTGGCGTTTCTTTTTTGAAATTTTAGTCGACGCACTGTAACAATTTAAAATGCCGGAGTTGTGGTATGCGGCCTGTAAGAAGACCTTGAATGGGAACTGAATGTCTTACAAATTCTGTGCATCGGTTAGAAATGGAGATACGTGAGGTCTGGTTCATTAAGCGCTGTGTACAGCCTGGCCATCCCAAGCGACCCACATTTCTGGCCGGCAAATGGAGTGCATGGGCCTGACATGAGTCTTCTGCACGTCATTCTGCGCACTGGACCTATGACAACCTCTTGGCGCCTAGATCTGGATGCTGGAATTTACAGCCTTCAATTTTAGCGCGCTTCATATGGTTGAGGCCTAGCTACACCTCCTTAGGACTAAAGTGTAGATTCATTTTCATTGCTCTTTAACTACTCGGTCTCCGGGGTAGATATATTTAGAAGACGAAGATGCGACCATTGGGAAAAGAAGCTTATTGGCCTAACGTTTCGGAATCTCAGTCGAACCCATCATCAGAGACAGTCGCAGATAAGTTTATTGTAAATGATGAATGCCTCGCCTGGTGCAGAGCAGCGCTTGAAGATGTAAGATCTAACTCAGTCGGAACCCTTTTAGGAAAACAGAGAGTATTTCGAAATTGCTGCTGATAGAACGAACAACATCATCAGGACATGTTCATGTCATGTACATTTTCCAGAGTTCAAACCACACTTAGCTTGATGGTTTAGTCATTCGTCGGCTTTCCCTAGACCTGACTGTCGATGAAATCCTCCTTAACAGTAAAAAAGACTACCGACTACAGCCTCTCACGGTACCAATTTGAATATTCCTTTTCATCACCCAAAAAGTCCGAATTGCATCGAGGGATGCTTGGGTGAGGTCTCGTGTCTTCGCACCCTGCCCACAACCCGGGGGATATTACGGGCCGGTTAGTGGCGATCTTCACGCAAAATGGACCCACCTGCCGCAGATCTTGTATAGTCCGAAAGCCGTTGTGAGCGAAATTGAACTTATTGTCGAAA